CTGTGTACAAGAAAAACTAATAAAAAAAAAACATTGATAAAAAATCAAACCATAACAAATGAAGTGATGACTTTTTTTCGACGATGAGGGGGGGACCACGGCGCACTGCAGCAGGATATGTGGCCGTCTTCGTCAGCACCAAGGGACAAGATTCCCCAAATGGGTTCAGTTCCCCAATCAACCAACGCCCAACCCCTAACCTCAGACCCAGATAATATTTGATTTAATCAATTAACGATTACAGAGAGAGAGGACTTGCTTGTCTGCTGCACTCAACCCCAGGCCAGTTTGCACTGCACCCAAATCTCATCTGGGATTAAGCCACCCCTTTTCCCAACACCCTCCACAGACTGTAATATAATTATACATAAAAAACTGCATAAATAAAATGTGAACGCTTATGTGATGCTTGTATACTTTAGGCTAAAATACTGTTAATGAATATACCAGCAGTAAATTAAAAGTTAGCAGGGTTTTTTCTCCCATTATTATTAGAATTTCCTTTAAACCCACAATTATGTATTCATAGTCATAGTGTTCATTCACAGTCAGTCGTTAATTATGTACTCAGTTAATGGCCTCGTGTTATTCTCGTTTCTCTCTGCCTCAGTCTTTGTCTTTAAGTTTTACTCTGAATTTCTCGTCCTGTTTCCTTTCTAATCCAGGCTATCAGTGTCTAACTGCATTTTGAGACAGAAATATATAATGTATATGCTGAGTAAAAATATCACTGTGAGCTGCATTACTATTATTATTGCACCTCCAGCAAAAAGGACCTAACTCTTGCATTTGAGAACTATATATAATATCCACTGTCCTTTTATTATACCAATACATGTAATATGTAAGCAGTATTGTTGTACAATGAGGCTGTATAAAGAGAGTGTTTGAGTGCAAATAAAATCCAGTAGCACATATACAATTTATGGAATGTTTTATTTACTTGAATTCTTTTTTTGAATCAACACTTTTGATCATACAGAGGAGATGAGGATGTTTATACTTGGAGTTACTTGAGTCTCACCTTATTATTTTGATTTAGGATCATTCACATATGCAACAGTTTAGAATGTATGATAACTTGTCAATGTATAACAGTGGTTGGAGTCATGTCATCAAAGTAATCTGGCATCTCATTGTGTGACATCTGTGAGTCTGGAGCTGGAGAGGCTTGGTAAAGAAACATCTGGGCTGCTGCTGGGGATGAGACTGGGGGAACAAAAGGCCTTGCATTTCTGGGTTGAAGAAAGGGAGGCATCGTCGGTTGTCCTGTTGGGTCAGAGACAAGTTGACCTCAGACATTTCACTAATCAGAACCAGGATTAAGTATCAAACTATTAATCTAACAAGGAGACACAGCATGTTGTGTTTATGTCAGTGTACCTGTCACTTGTCCAAAGCTTTTGGGTTCACTCCACCTGGAGATGTCCAACTGAGGCACCTTGGCTTTGCAGCTGTAATGGCCTGGTCTCTGTTTGGCCAGAAATCGGTTCTCAGAGGTCGCTGTTCCCAGTCGCTTGTTGTTGTTGTAGAAATAGTAATTTATTGAAGGGGCAGGAGCGTGGGCGTTGTATTGGAGGTGGCAGATGAGTCTCATCTTTAGGTGATCTAACTCAACAATCTCCAAAATTGGCTGTGTCAGAACCTCTGCACCAGAGCCACAGAAGAGAAAATAAACAACTGTCACATTCAAAGTGTTTCAAATAAAGAGAATTATTTATACCTTGAATCAGGCTGATAATAAATGGAGCGATGCTTGACTGCTGATATCAAAACCAACATTCATGTATTTCATCAAAGAACAGTCATATCATTTCGTTTACAGCTAAATATAAGAGAGGTGTTGAACTTCTCATCTCAGTCTTGGCAAGAAAGGGAATGAGAACATTTTCCAAAGGAACTTTCCACCTGGAACCACAAGCAAACTCTTTTAAATGCAATCCAACCTGTATGTTAACTCACCTAAGACCTGCACTGAAGCCTCAGCTGAAATGACAGAGCGTGTAAGTCTGTCTGCGTCCCAGGAGGCCCGGCAAGAATACATCCCCTGGTCTTCCAGGGTCAGGTTGTTCAGGTGAAAATGTGGGTTGCTGCCACTTTGTATCATGATTTCAACATTGTCCCTGTACAGAATCACCTCATGAATTGAGGGATTGCCTCGGACATGGCACGTGAACTTTAAGGTTTGTCCAACGAGGCCATGTTGAGGTGGGACTTCCAGGATGGCCCAACCTCCTGAACGAAGAGGAGAAAGTTACCATGTTATGTTGAATAGTGTTGCAAGACCAAAACATACATGATGATCTCATATTAAAAAAAAACAAATGCAGAAGTGACAAGACTTTCAATAAAATAGATAAATAAGAATTTACCATCCACCTGGATCTCCACAGGCAGACTCTTGAGGGTGTATATGTTTCCCACCAGTGAGTCCCTCAGGCCCTGGCAATAATATTTCCCACTATCTTTAACCCTGGCTTTCCACAGGACCAGGTGCTCGCCAGAGTGTCCTAGCTTCTCAGATCCTTTAAACCACTGGTAATCCCATTTGGACCCATGGACATCAGGAACGCTGCATCTCAGCCGGACCTCCTCCCCAGAGAAGATCCTCGAGTCCCCCAACACACTCTCCACAACAGCACTTAATAAGGTCTCTAAAGGCGCTGTACAGAGATAAACACACAGAATAATCTATATAATCTGTTTTGATTATGAATGTTTAACTGAATTACTTAAAATCATATTAATGTCGTATGTTCAGCAGAAGCAGCTAATATACTGATTATAGTATGATATGCTTACAAATTTGAAAATGTTTTTATGAGGCATGAATTCTAAGAGTATTTGGTACATACCCACAGGTGGTAGATGCTGCGCAAGAGTCAAAATAACTGTAATAGAAAATAATCAAGGATCAAATTAGCAGAAAACAATATGACTGAATGTTGATTTTATAAAAGAGAAGAAAACTCACAGAGGAGGGAAATGACCACGTCCATTCTGGGTGCACTGTAGGAAGCCAAGCCCCGAGGGGGTTACATATATTTATAATGAGGAGGGAAGTGAAAATTTTTTTTTCTTTTCACACAGGATATCCCCTTTCCAAAAACATAAGTTTTCATTTCACTGTCAGATGTGAGCAAATTTCTTAACAAGGAGGAACAGCAAAGATAAAAACAGAGCGGCATCATTTAAAGGTACAGTGTGTAGAATTTTGTGATATCTAGTGTTGAAATTTCATGTTGCAGCTGAACACCCCTCACCTCCCCCTCTCCTTCCAAACATGAAAAAGAACCTGTGGTAGCTTCAGTTGTCATAAAAACTCAAAAGGTGTTTAGTTTGTCCAGTCTGGACTAATGTAAAAATCATGGCGGCCTCCGTAGAGAGGTTGAAAATAAAAATGAATGCATCAGTAAAGAATTTTAACTTGAATACTTTGTTGATCAAGATCTGATTTAAAGGTCCAGTGTGTAAGATTTAGGTGAAAGGGAACTATTGGCAGTACCTTTAATTGTTAATTTTTCTGAGCAGTGTATTTGAATTTCCCCTCCAGGATTTATCTCATTGTATTTAGGCTTTTATTGTTGACTATACAAATCTGAAAGTTCTGTATCTATCATAAACTAAATGAGTCTTTTCCATTATTACACAACATAAAAATATAAACACACACTGGAGAAAAAGGATAATTCCAGAAATGCTGTATTTGCATGCAGTTCTTCACTTGCAAACTCATGACAGTCATGTGAAACAGGAACTGCACATGAGCACACATGCATTTTCAATTTTTATTAATTATCACACACCCATAGAATCAAATAATACTTATACTGCCCCAATAAGTTACATTTAAATAAAAGGCAGTATTTAGTTACTTCCTCGAATGTTACAATTACAAACCTATAAGGTTACAAAGATGTTTCTGACTCATAAATGGCTTCTGCTTACAGTGCAATATTCAAGTTGTTGTTTGCATTAAATGTTTTAGTTTGTCTAATTAAAATCAGAAAGTAACTACACACTGAAAAAACTAAAAAGATTCAGATCTAGCAATAAAAGGAAACATTAGTTGATGAGCATTGGTTAAAAAAAATAATATGTGCCTTTCATATTTTTCAAACATCTTCTCAGGACTGTCACACAGCTGAAGAACATGTGGAAACAGCCCATAACACTGTTTTCAGCAATCATCCTTTCAAATGAATATAGCAATTACTTCCTTCATTCAATGTCTTTCTTAAGAGCTTTAAAATTAAAGAGACTGAACGTGCTGTAAAATAAACTGAGCTGGTTGATGTTCTATGTATTTCTCTGCATTAATAAAAACTGATTTGGGGGATTTGTACGTTTTGGAGTTGGGAGGAAACAGCATCTTCTCCTTGTCAACCCCATATCTCTGACAGAGCAAAATAATCAATTAATGATAATCACAAAACCCAATTTCCCCAGGGATCTATAAAAAGTATTTCTGATTTGGATATTTCATCTAAGAGCTGATTACTTGAAGTACTTTTAATGGGAGATGCTTGAGAAGATTAATGAATGATGGAGCTTTTTACTATTCGACCATTAGGATTCATGTAACATGTTTTCACACTATTTTCTTTAACAATAGCACTACTGTAAATATTACAGGATTTGTGTCTCCTATTGCATCCAGAAGAATTGATACCTGCCACTCTATAGAAAAATAAAATCACTGTACATCCAGCTTATGTCTGGAGTGAGAGGTCTGGCATGAAAACGTGACAATATCCACACGCACACACGCGCACACACAAACACACACACAGCAGAAAGGATTTAAGATTTGTCAACATTAACAGAACATGTCCATGCTTTTTCTTGCCCCAAATTTCCCCACAGTTCAGAGAACAGTGAATTCATCAGAAAGCATGAGCTGGAGGTTTTTTTTTTTTTTAGTAAGGGGAAGTTATGTTTTGAATCATTCTGATTTCTCCATTTCCTTTACCAAAAACACATTTTTACTGTTATAATAGTAGGCGTAGAGTGTAGAGGCAATGTAGGATCAGTTTTACACCAGGAAATATCACAACATAAATGACATACAAACCCTTATCTGGGAAGTTGAATATAACCAGAGAGACCTGTTTCAAACTCACATCCCACCATTTATCCTATTTTCACAAATGTAGAAGGGGGGCAGACACTCCCATCAGGGGGCTTCATGCAGATCTCCTATGAATGAGGAAAATGGATGGATGGAATGGAGGTGGCTGGAGTGGAAATTGGAGTGCACAAAAACGTTAACAGTGAGAGGGGGGGGGGGCCTCTAGATTTTTTTAGAGCAGAGATCTACACGTCAACCACCTGTGGCTGTAGTGGTGGAGGCAGCAGCTCATTCTCAATGTTATCAGCGTCAATTGCTGACTGTGTTGCAGACCCGCTCGCTGTGGTTGCAGAGAGGTTTTCCGTCTCTGGTGGGAAGTTCTCCAGAGCGCACTGCACCTTCTGCTCCACTTCATCTGTCCAGTCGATGAGGTCGCTCTTCAGCTGGCGAGCTTTCTCCATGACAAGTTCCTGCCTTTCCCCGAGCCCTGTTAGCAGGTCTAGCCGTTTGTGGACCTGACTAAGAGCTGCGCTGCCTGAGGAGGATGAGGAGGAGGAAGCTCCATTGGTATTTGGCCAGTGGGGGGACGCCTGGCCCGACATGTAGAGATCAAACTGCTCAGAGGTTAGGTTCAGAGACTGACCGTCCAGCTTCTCAATGAAGGCCACCGCACAGCACTGGGGAGAGGGGATGAGATGGGTCATTGAAAATAAATCAGCCTCTGACTGATGCACGTGACTTCTAAATGTAATTTGATGTTTAACATTAGCTACCCTAAAATAAATTGCTAACACCAAACTGTAAAGTTTGTGTTCAGGCCGAGAACTTGCTATGAGTGGCTCATTTCTTTTTCCCCTCATTTCCTGTAATCTCTCTTATGTCTCTTTAATTAAGAAAACAATGTCAGTTAAAGCCCAACAGAATTAAAGTGTGTTCAAGACAACTAAAAGCCTTGATTGGAACAACTAGATAGAACGAATGCCGTCTAATATGACAGTCCTGTGATAAATAAGCGACTATAATGTTGAGTTTTCGTGTTAACTGTTTTGAGAGGGCGTTGACTCAACTTACTGATAATTCCAGAAGATGTCCGAATTCCTCGCTTATATAACAGTAAACGATACAGCACCAGATCTTCTTTGAAAGTGTAGGAATGTGACCACTTGGACACACAAACACCAAAAAACAACAAACGCAAGCAAGCCTCCCCTCACCAAATTAGTGAAGTAGTAACCATCCTCTCCAGTCATGAGCTTCCTGGGGTTGCAGAAGCGGTTGATGTACTGGATGTTGGACTGCAGTCGTGGAGGGTTTGCTTTTAGCACTATGTAGATAAGTGTCGGGAGGAAGTCGTCCGCAGATGCAGCCTCATTCGTGCTGGCTTTGATGGCGTTGAAGATGTGCTTGCTGCAGCTTGTCATGCACCGCAGTTTGTCGTTGGGCACGCGCTTCGAGTCCATTTCGATCAGATCTACAAAAGATAATTGTCAAAGTTATTGATGTCCGAAAACATGGGCTTCTCGAAAACAAACCCAACAACACTTACCTGTGATGGCTTTGACTACATTGTCAGAAACCTCAGGGATCTCCTCATCCACTGGAGAGCACAGCATCTCAATGGTGACCCAGTGCAAGTCTCTGAGGCAGAAACAAAGAGAATAGTCAAATAAATATAACTCTTAGATGCATTCATTTTATTTTCAACCTTGTGCTCAGAAGGAATACAGAAAAATAAACAAGTAATGTCACAGATAATTCAGGTGCTATACATCTTTTATTTGCTGACCTGATTCTCTTCTGAATGACCAGATCCTTTTTCTCATCATCTGTGGTTTCAGGACAGAACACTTCCTTGTAGAGACGACTCATAACGTACTTCTCTACTTCATCCATAACGTTCTGTACCTGATCTGACGAACCTATGAGCAGAAGAAAATAACATAATTAAACAGGTCAAAGACATTATCCGCCGTATGCTGGTGATATTCGCTGTTTCAAGCTGAAGATTATTGGGTGTTGAGCAAAAGAATCAGCCATAAGCAGTTTCACCTTTGAACTGAGTCTGGAGGCGATCTGAGAGGTTCTGGTAGAAGTCTTGCACACACTCTGACAGCTCATCAGCACCCATGTTCTGTAAAAAAAAAAAAAAAAGGAAATAAACATTTCAGCTCACATGAAATGTAACTTCATCTTGAAAATATGCTGACAAAATCAATCCAAATGTTTTGTTACTGTTATCTGTTTAAATGTGGGAATTACTAGACAATTTAAAATGGACAAATAGTTGATATCTAATGAGCAGAACTCCACCTTTCTATATTAAGAACATATACAGTGTTTAATAATAAATCAGGACAGGTGGTAATGAAAAGTGTCACATATAAACACTGGTGGAAAGTGAGGAGAAATGAAAACTCATTGCTGTCAGTGCTTTCTTATAAACTTAATCTTAACCTCAAATTTCTTCACATTATCTGGAAGTAAACAATTATTCATCAATAGGAACTAAATGGTTCTCGCTACACAGAAAAAGAATTAGTAATTCAGTAAACCTCACCCGCTTATAGACCATGCTCTCAGTGAAGGCCCGGCACTGTTTGAAGATCTCCCTGCCAGACTTCATGGGCTTGAGAAAATCAATGAGCTCTCGCATTGAGAGGTCACTGTCCACAGAGGAACGCTGGCTTGACGAGGTGCTCGGGCTTGGGCTGGACTGTGAGTCAAAAGGAGCAGCATCTAGGGGAAGATGTTTGATGTGATTTCATTGAAACGCGACAAACATTTGCAGTTTTTCATTGTGCTGAGTCAATGTGTTTGTGTGTAATTGTCTCTCAATAACTAGCATTTCTAACAGCTGCACATATGCTAATATACATACCCTTTTTTGGTGGTGTTTTGATGGAAGGAATAAAAAACTTTGTGACTGTGTTAACTTTGCTGGACTTTTCCTTCGTTTTTCTTTCTTCAAACTTGCTGAAGGGTGTGATGGTAGGCTGTGACTCTGCCCTTGGTTGTTTGCTCGCATATGCTTTCTCTTCCTCTCTCTGAAGCCTGGGAGGGAAAATATAAAACACATGTGACACTTGTCAGATGTGCAGATAGACACCAGAGCAAGGCAACAAAATGAGGAGAGAAAACAAAAGACACTAAATATGGCATTTCAGAGCAATTGTACAAATGACACCAGAGAGACAGACTGACCTCTCAGCAAGTGCCCAGTCTTGTTGAATTTGCTTTTGCTTTTCTCGCTGGTTTTCGTCTCGCCAGCACTTTGAGCACAGGCCCTGCCAAGCATTGTTGCCATAAAAACCACATCCATTCTTGCAAAGCAGGTCTGATTGGTCCAGGTGGATCCTTCGCCGCTGGCTTGTCATCTTTGCAGAAAATCAGGAGGATTGCTAGAGGGGTCAGAAGACAAGATAACTATCAAAACTAAAGCAGTGAGTATGTCCTGTAATAAGGTACTTATCTCGCAATGTTGAGGATCCAGCCCCCCAAAGAAATATAACAGATTCTTCTCTGGCCCATATCACATCTTACACCAAGTTTCCTGGTAATCCCTGAACTCATTTGTATGTAATCTTTTCTACAAACCAACAAACAAATGGGCCGGGGTGGAAACATTATATACTATGATGTTTAACTATAGTAAAGCACAGATTATCACAGCAGTGAGTACAAACAGCAACGCAGAGACTGGAGTGTTACTTCTGGGAATAAAACATTAAATCCAGTTACAGCAACAGGAATGTCTCTCTACCTCTTGTCTACGGGTTAGCATTAGCTAGCTGGTAGCAAGTAGCTGCCTCTGAAGTTCTCCACTGACAGAGCATTGACGCTCATTTTAAAGACAAAACATGCATTGAACACAGCTCCACCTCTTCGGCAACCTTCCCCCGTGGCAGTTATGGAAAAATAATCAGTTGACTTGTTGTGGCTGCGACTCTAAACGCAAAGTCAACAAGCTAATCTACAGCTAGCTACCTGTGTTTACCTCAGCCAATGACAGCGCTGAACTAGCTCACTGACTGGATTACCTCAGGTTTAATGGACATGCTATGAGCTGAGGATTTAGTGTCTACTTACACGTCTACATTCGCAGGAGAACAAGCAGCGCTGTCGTCTCTCCGGCTCCCGTCTCCTGTCTGTGGATGTTTACATTAGCTCAGCAGCTAGCTTCGTCCTCCAGACATTTCCTCTTCGTTTCTTCTACTCTGATTGTTGTGTGTGTGTTAGAAATGAGGGTTGAATGGTTTGGCGCCACCCAGTGTTCCCTCCGGGGCGGTGTCTCACGTTGGCGCAGGTAGGAAAGAGATCGTTCACCCTGGTGTCCTTAAACCCTGACATTCAAATATGTCTCGACACTTGGTCTTTTTAGTTTTTAGCCTGAATGGATAGAAGAAGATATGCAGACAATCTGAATGCGAACATGAGTGACAGCTTCAGCTGGGACTGGCTCCACCTGTTCAGGGCAGGAGGTATGGATGGAGGTGTAAACGCAGGACCTTGGCGCGCATTACGCACGTCTCCACCTGAACTTCCTCATAAGTGATTTGCAGACTGAAGCTGGAACAACTGTGTGACACGACATCTCTGCAATGGCCGGTAAGAGTTCATGATCTGAATGTTACTGTACACACACGTGGCACATGGCAAGTTTACTGTATGCACAATATGGAGGCGATCGGCCAGGAAACGCAACAGTGGTTGATAGTGTGTGTTATAAGGGCGAAGAGGAGGATGAGTTTCAGAAACATAATTTCATCTTTCACAGCTTGAATGTGTCATTAAGGTATCGATCAGGCTTCTCTGTAGTTCCTATAGGACCAGCGTGTCTCTGTCTTTGTTCACGTTAAAGAGAAAGTCAAAGTATGCAGCTTCAGTTATGTAAATGTCGATTAAAAAGCCTTTTCAATGAGATCAAACCGGACAGTAATACACACCTTAGTCTTCATTATATTCAAAGTTGGGTTTAAACCATAAAGGAAGGTCAAAGTCCTCATGAAGTTGGCTCAGCTGAAGAATCTTGTGACTTTGGACTGAAAACAACAGCCTTTTTTTCTGTGAACATTGTTTAATACCGAATAACTATGGATTTATATTCTATGGGCGGTGCTATGGGGAGGCTCCTCCCAAAGAGACCTAAAGAGAAGGGACGTTATGGTGATTTGGATACAAATACAAGTTAAATTTTATGAATGAACTCATTCAGGATGTATCATGAACTACTGAAATGACTATATGTCAATGTGACTTTATACCATGAACTTAATCTGAATAGATCATATATATAATGGATCATATATATATCTAGATATATATAGTGTCAGCCAGTCCCAGCTGACATTGTCACCCACATTCGCATTGTTAACCCACTGTAGGGTTAAGAATTAAATACTCAAGTGTCCAGGATGAAATGTTAAAAAGCAGTTAGATGATATGAAAAATGCATCGTGTTAAAGCTGAATAAATAATTCTGATCTGCATTTAATCAATGTGCTCTTTGCATGTTAGTGTGTTTTTGTGGGTTCTCTCGCTTCCTTCTATATTCCATAGACATTTAAATTCCAAGTGCAAAGTCCAGAGAAGTCCACTCTAAATTGCCCATAGGTGTGAGTTTGAGTGTGTTTGTCTTTCCCCTGTGAGGGTCTGTGTGTATAAGTTTTGCAATTGACTTTACTTTTATCCGTCCTCTAGACAAGCTCGCCAAGATGAGGCGCAAGTTTGTGGATAAGGTGACGATAGCAGTTCTTAATCAGCTCCTGGATGACATTCTGGAGGATCGCATTGTGAATGACGGGGAAAAAGACTCGATACTGGAGGAGAACAGCAGCAGAGAGAACAAGGCACGCTGCCTCATTGACACGGTGAAGAAAAAAGGTGATATAGCTTGCATGAAGATGATCGCTCACCTTCAAAGCAGAGATCCCACACTTTTCTCTGAGCTGGGCCTCTCCTGTAGTCCGCCTGCTCCACCTGGTGAGTCACCCAGAGACAATTGTATTCTACTTTTTCCAAACCAATACAGTATTTTGTGAATGAAATACGTAACGTTGTGGTTTTGTTGTTTGCAGCTGCAGGGCCTAGGAACATTCAGGAGGAGGGCTGGTCTACCACACTCATCCCCACTACTGAGGCTTTCTGGAGGCAGAAACAGAACAATAAAGATGTCAGTCTCTCAAAAAAGTCATATAATTCTCGCTAAACTGATAGAATTACCCTATTGCTATTTTATTATCTAGTGGAAACAATGGGCAATATTATTTAGTTAGTTTGCATCTCAGTTTACCTCAAAATAGTTTTCTCAAATGTATCTTATGAAAATTGTCATTGTAGAAATGGTATATTTAAATTTGATTTTAATTTAAGACTACAATATCCTTTCAATTCTTCTTTTCAGATTTACCCTGTGACCATAAATAACATCGGGAGTCGTGTGGCACTGCTAATCACCAATATAAAGTTCAAGCTTGATAAATTAGTCAGACATGGAGCTGAGAAAGACGAGTTGAACACGGAGAAACTTCTCACAGATCTGGGATACGAGGTGGTGAAACACACAAACCTCACTGCAAAGGTACGTCACAGTGAATAAATATCTCTTTCCTGGTTGACGATGAGTAACTGAAACCTCTTTCCATTTTCTTCTCACAGGCCATAGATGATGCTGTAATCAAGTTCTCTAAACATCCAAAACTCAGAGAGACAGACAGCGTGATGGTGGTTATCATGTCTCACGGGAAACGGGGAACAATCCTAGGTGTCGACTGGAAACCCAGAACTGATGACGAGGAAATGGATGAGTTCTCCATCGACAACATTTACAAACACTTGGGTTCAGAGAATTGTCCTGCACTGCTGAACAAACCCAAAATCCTCATCATCCAGGCCTGCAGAGGAGGTGATTCCCATCCAGTCTTTACAGATACACCTAACTCTCTCTAGCTAGATCCACACCCCAACAATAAGTGATTTAAAGGTTTGAATGGAAATTGATATGTTGGACATTGAGATGAAATTAATGCACTTTGATCAAAGGGGTTGAAGTGAAGATGCGTCTCATAGGCTGGTCTGAGAGGAGGGAGACTCAGAGTCGGGGTTTGTTCTCAGGCATCATTCCACCAGAGCTGATTACAGGCAGCACTCAGCCAGTACCTAGAATGAGACATGCAAGAGGTATAAAGGGTTGGATGAAGGGATGAGCGAATGAGGATGAAGGGAGGAGTTAATATTGAGGGATGAAGGGATGCATATTGGGATGA